CGGTGCGCGCTACCACGCCCGGCTAATTTTTTGATTTATTGTAGAGAGGAGGTCTCGCCAAGTTGCCCAGGCAGGTCTCGAACCCGCAGGCTCAGGCAATCCACTCACCTCGGCCTCCCAAAGCGCGGCATTTCATGCTGAGCCACCGAGTCCAGCCATTCTTTCCAACTGCTAGACGAGAGAACGGAGGGCGCACCTTGATGACAGCTACCTGGCCGGCTTCCTTTGGACCTAAATGGGCCCGGCTTGTAGATGCCTCTCCCTCCCTCAGGCTGGACTGTGTGGGGATGTAGCTATCCTGGACCCGAGGGCCACTTTAGGGTATGGCAGAGCATAGATGGGACCTGGGACCCTGAAGACGAAGACTGTGGTGCAAGCTTAGTCTTTAAACAAAAATTCACCATTTATTTGACACAGATGCCCCAGGAATGCAAAAAGGAGAGTGTTACATTCCATACCTTAACATCTTACACAAGAGAGAAATACCTTTCATTTGGTCAAGGCACTGATACTCTTGTCACAGCATCCGAATCCATAACCTAACTGACCCACAAGTCCCAGACTTCCAATTCCCCATGGTTTTCATTTTTGGACAAGGGCTATGGAAGCTCCTTTTCAAATCTTAGTTGGTACAATAATCACGCTAAAAATAAACACAATTAAAACAGTCATGAAGGCCAGCTTTTACTGAATGCTTACTGTGAGCCAGGCAGTGTGCTGAATGCTTTCCACTCATTTACTTGCAATCCTAGCAACCTGTCCCTGAAGGAGGTACCAGATTATCATTTTCATCTTACAGATGAAAAAACAATAACCCAATGCTCAGAGAGGTAAGTCATCCACCCAGGGTCCCACGTCTAGGTAGTGGCAGAGCTGGGATGTGAATCCCAGTTATGAGATTCCAGAGGCCACCTCTTCCATTACTCGCTCTAACTGGAAAACCCAATACTGGAGAGAAAGGGAAGGGAGGTACAAGACAACCAGGGCACAGCACAGGGCAAAGTGGGCGGCACTGACCTTCCTTGTTCTCCCCAGAGCCCTGTGTGAAGAGCAGCTGGTACTGTCGATTTGGGAAGTTGGTTGGGAAAAACTTATTCATGAAGGGGCTGGAAGGAAAGACAAAGCAGGTCGACAAACAGCCCCCATGGGCAATCACAACTCTAACATCTTCCCAGCCCCGCCATTTACAGCTGTTGTCTCCTGGCACCCTCACATCGGCCCTGATAGGTAAGTGTTACTGTTCTCACTCTACAGATGTGGAAACAGAGGACTTCAGAGGGTGACTTGCTCAGGGTCACACAGGGAGCAATATCTGAGGTGAGACGTGAGCTCATCTCTAGACTACTACTGATTTCCATACTGCCTTTTTGTTACCACCAAAGAAATGCAAAGCAGAGGCAGACTTTCATATAAAATCATTTCTGGGAGAGCAACGGATTCCAGTCTGGCCACGCACCACCTACGGGGATTCCTTGTCAAGAACCATATTCTTGGATCCCCTTCCGGACCTATCAAGTTAGATGACCTGACAGTCACCCTCTACCCCACTTTGTCATTGTGCTCTCCAACAACAGGGATTTTTACAAAGTTGGCTGGAATCAGGCAGCCAGATTAGCCACAGCTCCCCAGGGCAGGATCACCCTCACATTCACTCCTACCACAAGGCCTCAGTTGCTTTAGAACAGGTTGGCCGTCTCTAGAACATTCTGATTACCCAGCCCAGTCAGACCGGGAACAGACTTTCTTTTGTGGACCATCTTCAGAGCAAGTCTGGCAACCCAGGGCCTCTTGACCCAGCTTGGTAATGGGGCTTGGCAATACTGTGGAGGAGCAGCAACCAGCCTGGGTGGCCCAGCCCTAAAGACTGCTTTGTCAGTGTGGCTCAGGGAGAGCCATGTTAGGGGCTCAATCTCCTCACCTGTATATAGGGACAGTGGTTGCAAAGGTTGCTGGGAAGATATGAGACAAGGAAGGAAAGACACTTTGGCCAGCACTGGGCCTTCAGCAGGGATATAAGAACTGTGAGCTTCTGTCACCATGGTGTACTCCTCCAGAGCCTGAGCTTGAAAGGATCTGATGTCAGTTGAGCTGCTCACGACTCCTGAGGTAAACAAATCCAGGAATGGTCCCCCAACTAACAGGTAAATGGAGGCAGGCCAGGAGGGATCCAGGTTACAGTGGTAAAGGGAGCTCTCTTTTTAAGACTGGTGGTTTAGAGAAAGATGTGGATTCAGAAACCATCTCTGGGCCTCCATTTCCCCCTTGTCCAAGAGCTGATCCCTCCCAGCTTGGAGGGTTATGGTGTGAATGATCAGAGAGTGAACAGAGATGTCGCAGGCACAAAGGCAGAGTAGGAATGGGCTTCGAAAGCAGGGCTCTGAGGAGTAGGAGGCAGAAGCTGGGAGGTAAGGCTGGAAGCCACTTTTAGCTTCCCCTTTTTGGGGAAGTCTGAAGCCAGGGTGTGCGTGCAGCATGGGCGCAGGCAGTAGCAGCCTGAGGAGCTGAGCCCCTCATGCAGCTCAGCTGGCCTCTTCCTCAGGAGCTTAGCTTCCCAACCAGCAGTGTGATGGCTAAGAATGTGGGCTCTGGAGCTAGACTTCTGGGTTCAAATGCTAGCTCTGCCACCTAGTAGTGGTGTGACCTTGGGGAAGTTACTTAACTGCTCTATGCAACTGTTTCCTCATCTGGAATAACACTTGTTTCTTTTTTTTTTTTTTTTAGTTGGAGTCATGTGACACCTAGGCTGGACTGCAGTGGCACGCTCATTGCCACCGGAGCCTTCATCTGCTGGGCTCAGGTGATCCTTCCACCTCAGCCTTCCAAGTAGCTAGAGTTACAGGAGCACGTCACCATGCCCGGCTAATTATTTTTTTGACTTACTGTAGAGATGAGGTATTGCCAAGTTGCCCAGGCTGGTCTCAAACCCATGGGCTCAGGCAGTCCTCTCACCTCAGCTTCCCAAAGTGCTGGTATTACAGGCGTGAACCACCACGCCGGGCCGAGTGCCTGGCATCTTGTAAGCTTAACTGTAATTTCAGCTTTAAGTAGGAAGTCTCTACACTGATTCTTTGTTACTCCAAGTAAAGATGGGCTGCTGGGAAGTCAAACGACCTGGCTGGTGTGGATCTGTGGACTTGAGAGCAGGGATCTGTCTCTTCTTCACCCCACCCTGGGGCCTGGTAGCCATCTGGCAAATGCTTGCTTAAGGACTCTGAATGCAGACTTTTGCAGCAGGCAGAGATCCTTTTTGGCCCCAGTAGCTCACGCCAAACCTAAAGGTCACTGCTTCTCCTTGACAAACCACATCCTGGTGCCCTTCTCCCCTGGGGGGGTAGAAGTAAAACTGGTGACATGGCCTCCTCCTCTGGGATGGGCCTTTTTCCCACTAAAGGTCAGATGGGTGGGGCATGAGTTCAGTCATAGGTGATAAAATAAGCCAAGGCTCCCTTGGCAGGGAGATCTGGGATTTGGCTTGGCTTGAGTCTTGACTAGGCCGTGGCCACTGCCTTCCTCTAATAACCCAAGCTGGGCTTTGTTTCCACAGAGGCTTGAGGTGGGCTAGGGGATGGCACGGAGGTGGAAAGGATTTTCAGAACTTTGGACTGGGCTGATACGGCTCGGGCGCAGCTCTTTGCAGCCTTCCCAGCAGGCCCCTTCCCAGCCCGTCTTCAGGGACCACAGGCTCACTGAGAGAGGGTGGCCAGCCTACCCTCTGAAGTTCTCCCGCCCCCTTCACTTTTGCCAAAACTATAACAACTACTGGCTTTGGAGTCAGACAGACCTGGGCTGAAAACCTCACTCTTCCCTTACCTGCTGGTGGTCACATAACCCCTCTGACCCTCAATTTCCCTGTCTTGAACCTTCAGACCTGTTGTTTGGATCCTGAGAAAGGTCTGACTCTAAGTTTGTGGCCATAAGGAGCTCACTAAAATTCTAGTAACACAGGAGAATTTCTCTGAGAAAATATTTAAGAAAACTTAATTGAAGGACAAAAGTCAATTTAATTCTTGGATCAACTTTCTAAAACACATGATTAAATCATCCACCCCCTTTTATTATAAATTATTTTCATTGGATTCCATTCTTTTCCATGTACATTTTACAATAATGATTTCATTCATCTGACAGTTTTTGGTCCTATCAAGTTTTTATTTTATTTTATTTTGAGTTGAAGTCTCACTCTGTCACCCAGGCTAGAATGCAGTGGCACACTCATAGTCACTGCCACCTCGACCTGGTGGGCTCAGGTGATCCTTCTGCCTCAGCCTTCCAAGTGGCTAGAACTACAGGCTTGTGCCACCATGCCCAGCTAATTTTTTGACTTAATATAGAGACGAGGTCTCACCAAGTCATCCAGGCTGGTCTCGAACCCCTGGGCTCAAGCATTCCTCTCACCTCCACCTCCCGAAGTGCTGGGATTACAGGTGTGAGCCACCACGCCTGACTCCCATCAAGTTTTCCAGTGGACAGCTTTGCCCTCATGTGGTGGGCACCTCTTCTGCATAAGGTTATCCATTATTTTTACAAGGTATGATTTTTCCAGGTCAAATTTTGTGGTTCTAAATTTCATTAGAAGATGATTCTTCTGTTAGTTTCCGGGCACTCATAAATTTTACCACATGCAGTTTTGGCTGCTGTTGGTTTTATTTTCTGTTGACAATATCTGTCTCTAAAAATTATACATTGTTTCATGGCTAATCTATGAGAAATTTGAGACAATGTCCCTTAGTTATTGTTCTAAATGGAAAAAAAAAATCTGGTGCCAAAATGATAGAAATACCCTGTGTAGGCAGTGGGTGGAGACAAGATCTTTCTTGCAGGGTTGTTGAGATAAAGTTAAATAATTAATACCTCAGCACATGGTCTAACCGTGGGTTTTTTCTTTTTTCTTTTGAGTAGGAGTCCACTCTGTCACCCAGGCTGGAGTGCAGTGGCACACTCATGGCCACCGCAGCCTCGACCTGCTGGGCTCCGGCGATTCTTCCGCCTCAGCCTTCTAAGTAGCTGGAACTACAGGCGTGCTCTACCACGACCGGCTAATTTTTGATTTATTGTAGAGATGAGAGCTTGCCAAGTTGCCCAGGTGGGTCTCGAAACCGCAGGCTCAGGCAATCTACTCACTTCAGCCTCCCAAAGCACTGGGATTACAGGCTGAGCCACTGAGCCCGGCCAATCATGTCTTTCCAAAACACACTGGGTTCTCTCACTCTGAGGTGAAGGTTAGGCTGTGGGGGAACTGGAGGTCTCCAGTCTCTCGCAGACGCTGGGGTGGGATGGGCTAGAGTTGGCGAGGGTCCTGATCAGCACAGGAAAGGAGGGGCCTAGTGCCTGGAAGTGACTGCAGGTCCATCGTGAAAGGACAGGTCTGTCCTGCAAGTGAGGGCAGCTGGGCTTGCCAGTATCCTTCTGGGTCCAAGTCACTCAGGAGGGGGACTGGACTAGAATTCTTCCGAGCTAGCTAGAGTAAGATCTTGTGGGTGAAGGGTGAGTGTAGGTGAAGACAATGGTGACCTTGGTTAGAAGACCAGAGCTGAAGTCCCGGCTGTGTAGCCTGGGACAGCCACTTGGCTTACTGTGTGCTTGGGATTCAACAGACAGAGGCTCACTTGATCCTTCGCACACCTCTCTGATGAGGCACTTGTAGTCTCTCCACATTATAGATGGAAAAACTGATGCTCAGAGAGCTTATGTAACTTACAAAAATTATAAAGCTGGCAGAGCCAGGCTTTGGTCCTAGGGTTGCCTCTCTCTCCACATGTCAGCGTGCCTGAAGCAATGAGGCTATACTCACCTTGGCTTTTTTTTTTTTTTTTGAGACAGGGTCTCACTGTCACCCAGGCTAGAATACAGTGGTGCGATCCTGGCTCACTGCGGCCTTGATCTCCTGGGCTCAAGCAATCCTTCCGTCTCAGCCTCCCGAGTAGCTGGGACTACAGGCACATACCACAACATCCAGCTGTGTGAGACAAGGTCTCACTACATTGCCCAGGCTGATCTTGAACTCTTGGGCTCAAGTGATTCTCCTGTCTCAGCCTCCTAAAGTGCTGGGATTACAGGAATGAGCCACTGCACCGGGCCTCACCTTGGCTCTCAATGCCTATGTGAGGAGGTAGTTCTTTCATTTTAGCTTTTTCTTTGACTGTCTGGGGAGATCCTAACTGGGCCCTCAGTATGCACAAATTTTCCAGCTTCAGGCCTGGCCTTGCCCTCCTTTGCACCTCTTCCAGGTTTCCTATCCTTTGAAGGAAGTTAAGTTCAAGTTGAATTCCTTCCTTCAGGGAACTTTCCCTGGTACGCTGGCCACTTCTTGGTCTCTCAGTGGCTCTCAGCTTGAGACTGTATCACTTCAAGGAGCAGACAAAAACATGCCAGGACATCTTTGTAGTCACAAGCTGAGGGAAGGGTAGTGGCAACTCCCATTTTGTGAGGAGGGCAAGGATGCCAGCATCTGCAACGTGGAGCTAGTCCTGCACAGTGGAGAACTGGCTTGACCAAAACACCAATAGCAGCCCCTTAAGGAACACTGGCCTCCATCACTCTTCCCCACTGAAATGACAAGAGCACGTGACAATCTGAGCAGGGTGGCAGTGGGAAGAGGGTGGGGGCTCTAAGGTCATAGCTGGGTTTGAATCCTGGTTCTTTTGCTTATCAGCTATGTTATAATAGCAAATTTCTTTTTTCTTTTTTTTTTTGAGTCAGAGTCTCTCTCTGTTGCCCAGGCTGGAGTGCAGTGGCACGCTCACGGCCACTGCAGCCTTGAGATCCTTCCACCTTAGCCTTCCAAGTAGCTGGAATTACAGGCACATGCTATCACGCCCGGCTGATTTTTTGATTTATTGTAGAGACGAGGTCTCACTGAATTGCCCAGGCTGGTTTCGAACCCCTGAGCTTAGACATCCTCTCACCTCAGCCTCCCAAAGTGCTGGGATTACATGCATGAGCCACCGTGCCTGGTACTAGCGAATTTCTTAACCTCTCTGCATTTCAGTTTCCCAGACTGGATTAAAAGCAGGATTAAGGCAAAAGCTAACCATATGAGGTTGTCTGGCAGGATAACTAGGTAGTAACACAACTAACAGTTACGAACACATTAAGTGCCAGATACTGTACTTTCCACCTGACCTCCATGATGAGGCCACCATTATTTTTCTCCACATTCAAGAGGAAAATGAGGCCAGAGAGTTAAGTAACTTGCTCAAGGTCACAGAGCTATTAAGTGGCAGAGTCTAGATTCAAAGTCAAGTAGTTAAATTCCAGAGCCTGCACCCCTAACTTCTCACTACACTGCTCCTACGTGAGGAGCCAAGCACGGTGCGTGGAGCACAGCAGGCCATGACACCTGGCAGGCGGTGCTGGCATCACCCCCGTACACATCACCATTCATAAATGACTTTTCCAATTGTGGTGGTGGGAGGACACCCACCTGATACTCTAATTCCCTATACGAAAACTTGGCCCAGAGGGGTTGTAGTTCTTGTCCTGGTCATTACACAGGGGAAAGAGTCCCTTGAGTTTTACAGCCAGGATTCAAACCTGACTCTGAATGATGCCAAGGGTCATGTTCTCATTCAAGACCCTGTACTGGCTCCTGAGAAAGCTGCTTCAAATGCTGCAGAGAGATGCCTTCTGACCTGATGGTGTGGGACAGGGCCAGGATTCCCAGCACGAAGAAATACATGGACAGCAAGAGGTTGATGTACTCCTGGGAGAATATCTGAGGCAGAAATACAAAGAGAAACAGGAAGTTAGCATTGCTGCTGGCAGTGAGGAAACTAGAGTCCCCGCTTCTCTTCTGGAGCCTGGTCTCACCCTTCTAAGCTTGGGAGCCAGTCAGGAGGAGTCTCAGACAATACTAGAGGCCTTCTGGTTTTGGGAGCTGTGGGAAAAGAGGAGGAAACCTCAAGCCTCCAGATGCACCGCCCACCAGAGCCTGCAGGTTTGTGTTTAGTGGCTCCATTATCTGGAGAGAAGCAACCATATCTGCGTCCAGAGTCCTGCATGGAGTCTGGAGGATGCCTCTGAACTCACGCTTCACGTTTCCTGGTGCCTGCTCAGAAACCAGGGAGCCTCACCAGGGCCCCCAGCATGCTGTTGCAAGACATCAGCGTGCCCTGCTCTTCCCTTGCATCCTGTTCCTCTGGGGACTCCTCTCGTGTGATAGTCGGAAGCCGTGACAGTTGATTCTTGGTCTTCTTATTAGGTGAAGCTGAGAAATACTCTCTGTCATGATGCTACAGAACCAGTAGTCACAGGGAAATTCTGGACTCTGCAAAGTCTATGCCATAGCGTGTCATGTTTGCTGCATCATCTATGGTAATCTGCTACCTTGATGGTCTCTTGCTGGGAGAAACTAGTCTCTGACATGCTGCCATGTGGGGTACAGGGACCTGGCTGCGCTTATGCGGGGCTGCTCTGGAATCTGTTTGAACACCTGTCTGATCCTGTCACTCTCTTGCTGAAGCCTCACGGCAGCTTTCCCTGTGCTCTGAGCTGAAGGCCTGCATTCTCCTACTTGCCTCTCAGGCCCTGTGCTGCCCACTGGAGACCTCCTCAGCCTAGGCTCACACACTTGCTCTTGTTCTACGTGCTGCAGCCACCTTGGCCTTTCTGCAGCGCCTAGTCTGTGCCACATCTCTCCTGGCCTATGCACAGGCTCCTCCGCTACTCTTCTCTCTGCACCTGGTCTACCCTACTCGACCTTCTTTAGCTCCCAGCTCAGAGTTTTCTTCAGGCAGTTTCCCCGACACAACCACCTTCACTGCCTACGACGCGCAGGGCACTGTGCTCAATACTAGGGACACAGCAAGGAACAGGGCAGAGTCGCTGCCCTCAGAAGGCATGTGCCAGTGAGGGGGAAAGAACCTCAAACAATTATATATAGTATGTCAGGTGGTGATGGGCACTAGGAAGAGAAGCAAAGCAGGGTAAGGAGACAGAGAGGAAGGGGAGACTGGTTATTTTAGATGGGTGGCCAGGGAAAGCCTCTGACGAGAGGACACGGGAGAACCCGAAACAGAGTAAGGAGCAGGCTGTGGGGACATTCCGGGGAAGAACATCTGAGGCAGGGGGAAGGGCGGGAGCAAAGGTCCTGTGAGCCTGGAGCTAAGGGTGCAAGGGGAGAATGGCAGGAGACGAGGCTGGAGGCAAAAGGGAGTCAGAACTGGCAGCTGGGGGAAGCCTTTAGTTTCACCTGCGTGAGACAGCCTGCTGCTGCAGTGCCAAGGGCAGGGTGTGACTCCACCGCTGCTCTATGGAAGGAGGACCCTGCAGGGCAAGAGTGGGAGCAGGGAGCCCCACAGGGGAGGACAGTGCCCTGGACTGGAGGATGGAGGGAAGTGATGAGCATGGAAAGATTCTAGACCTGTTCTGGAGTTGGAGCTGCAGGATGTGCAGAGGGGCTGGGTGAACAGCAGGAGATGCAGGTGCTGCAGCCTTGGACAGGGGGTTGGGCAGGAGAGTAGGTTCTCTCGCGGCTGGTTCTTCCATGCACTATGGATCTTGCCTTCACAGCATTTCTTAGAGCTGTAAGTTCACATCTATGTGACTGGTATCTGTCTCCTCCACTTAACAAGATGCTCTTGAGGGCAGGGATAGTCAGCTGTTTTTCTTGCTTCTGTATCCCTAGTACCCAGCACAGCCTGATGTAGCAGGCACTCAGTTCACATGGAATGGAGGAGCAAATCAGTGGCTGTAATGTGAATGCTACAAAAAAAAGATGCATAGGCCAGGCGTGTGGCTCATGCCTGTCATCCTAGCACTTTGGGTGACTGAGGCAGGAAAACTGCTTGAGCCCAGGAGTTTGAGACCAGCTCAGGCAACACAGCAAGGCCTCGTCTCTATTTTTAATTAAAAAAAAAAAAAAGACGCATTAATTTACTTTGTAGGTACATGGATTGTGTCTTATTTATGAAGGTGTGGCATATCTCTCCTGTTGCACTCTCACTGTGGGCTCTAGGAGGAAATCTCAGGCTGCACCTCGAGTTCTGGTTGGTTTGACTGTGTGGCCCATAGGAATCGTGTACCAGCTCTCACTTTTCTTTGTGCTTTGGCCACAAAACGTCAGAGCCACACCTGTGGCCTATTTCTGGGAAGAGTACAGGTCTTCAGAGAATGGGGCATGGGTAAGGTCTCACCAAGGCCTATTTGATCCTATTTTAATTTTCTTTGTCACTTCTGTATCTTTTTTTTGAGTCAGAGTCTCATTCTTGCCCAGGCTGGAGTGCAGTGGCACACTCATGGCCACTGCAGCCTCGACCTGCTAGGTTCAGGTGATTCATTCGCTTCAGCCTTCTAAGTAGCTGGAACTACAGGCGTGCGTCACCACACCCGGCTAATTAAAAAAAAAATTATTGTAGAGACAAAGTCTTACCATGTTGCCATGTTGCCCAGGCTGGTCTTGAACCCATGGGCTCAGGCAATTCTTTCACCTCTGCCTCCCAAAGTGCTGGGATTACGGGTGTGAGCCACTGAACCTGGCCCGTTACCTGTATTTCTTATTCTGTTGGATTTAACATTTGTTTTGTTTTTTTTGGGTCAGGGTCTCATTTTGTCACCCAGGCTCGAGTACAGTGGAATGGTCACAGTTTACCACAACCTCGACTTCTTGGACTCAGGCAATTCTCCCCCCTCAGTCTTCCCAGTAGCTGGGACTATAGACGTGTGCTACCATACTTGGCTAATTTTTTGGTTTTCTGTAGAGATGAAATCTCATTATGTTGCCTCGTCTTGAATCCCTGGGCTCCAGTGATTCTCCTGCCTCAGCCTCCCAAAGGGTTAGGATTACAGGCATGAGCCATTGAGCCCGGTCGGATTTAACTTCTATGAGCTACCTCAAAGCAATCAGTTTTAAATGAGGTGGGATAAAATAAATGTTATGATTTTGCGAAATGTTACTGTATTGTGAATTTTTAAAACCACGTATTTTCTTCAATATCCCCACAAACAGGCTATGGATACTGCCCAGGTAACCAGGTGCCAGTGGGACAAGACCAATCGCTGCCACAGGTTTCCCTTCTGTGACTGAGTGCCGTTCAAATGGACCCTAAAATCCCTTCAGTCTTCCACCTTATCCCCGGCAAAGGCACTTGCCCAGGGGCCCTCTCCTCCTCCTTCCTGCTTTCTCCGCCTGCTTGGTTGAAGCCCCTCTCATGTGCCCCCGTGTGCGAGCCACGCCTCCATCCCTAGGCCTGTATCACAAGGCCCCTATCGCAATGCCTCCCTGATGAGCTGCAATTTCCAAGGCTGTGCTGGGGTGATCCTTAAAGACCACCAAGGTTCCCTAAACTTAGTTCCTGGGGAAAAAGAGAAGGAAAAAAAAGACACCACAGGGGGACTTGCTGCTATTTACAACACAACTGGTGGAAAGTCCCTCAGGCGTATAAAGGGATCCTGAAGCACAAAACTCCCAGGCAAGCACTGGGCATTAGGGTGGAGGACACAACCCAAAGGTGTGAGGGGACTGACTGCTGTGTTTCAATGTTATCAGCTTGCAGAAGGGTAATGTGTGGCCAGGGCCAGTCTCGCCACACTGGTGCACCTGGCTGCCTGGGGGAAAGCTCCCAGCCTGTCTGTGGAAATGTTGAGGCATCAGGAAAAAATGAAGTTTTAGAAATGCACAATGAAGTTACAAACTCCAGTGCCCCAACCAGGAGGGGAGGAAAGGGGCTGAGGAAGAGTTGCTGTGGTGGGTCGTTTTTCTGGTAAGCAATCCATCCAGCCAGCTGTCAGGCTGGAGTCCAGGGACTGTACTGTCCAGGCAGCTGCCTTTCAGCAATCCTAACAGGGCACTCTAAAGGGATGGGGAAGAGGTATGCTCTGTGCTTCTAGCACAAGGCAGGCTGGGGCTTGCCTGCCCAGGGAGGAGGAAAGGCTGAGCAACAGGAAGCCAGTGCCTTAAATAAGTGTCCACACCCACCGCAGCCAGAAATTCCTTTTGGGAGCATCTAGCCTAAAGAAAGAATCCTAAATGCTAAACATGTTGGATGCTCTTGAGGTGCGAATTCCTGGCACTCAGCACTGCAGAGACTTGAAAAATATCCGCCAATAGCAAAGGCAGAAGCAATAGTCTAGATGTACACAGAGCCACAGAGAGATCGTAAAAGCACAGGGAGAGGAAAAGGAAGCAGAGGGAGACGTGCTGCACAGTGCTATTTAAGGAAACTAGCTCTCACTCATTCCCACCAACACTACATATTTTATAAGAAGCATACATATCTAAGGACATGAGTCAAATGCATTAGAGTAGGAACCTCTGGCAGACAAGGAAATGAAGGTGAGAAATGGAGGTGGGCACTGGGGTAAAAGGGGAGAAAAAAAGAAAAGTGGGGGCCCGGCATGGACTGAGGATGGTATGCTATGAACAAGGGCACCTGATAAATTCAGATTTTCATCCGAGGTCCAGGAAAAAAAACAGTGAATACCCATGTTATTTAATAAGAGTAAAAATGAGAACATTTAGTGCTACTCAATGTTAAGTGAGAGCACACTGGAAACTTAGTGGGAATGTAAAATGGTACAATCTTTTTGGAGGGCAACTGGGCATTATCTATGTAATTCTAAGTGGAGATGCTGTTTGACCTGGTAGTTGTTCACAGCAATACTGCAATGTACCCCAACATTGGACACACCCAAATGGCTTCAGGGGTACCTTGTAAAACAGAACTATGAGCAGCTGTTAAAAAGAATGAAGGAGATTTGACTCTGTTGATGCAAAAATACCTCCGTGGGAAGATTCATGTTTGATACATATACTAAAAAATATTTTTAAACATGAATACAGGTCTGTGCAACAGGTTCACAAGAAACTATATTTGGGGAAGGATGATGGCTCATTTGCACCTTTCTTTAGGTTGACAACAATTTTTGATGATGTATGCATACATTTTTGGCAGAGGGACAGTGTCTCCCTGTTGCCCATGCTGGAGTACAGTGGCACAATAATGGCTCACTGAGGCTTTGACCTCCAGGGCTCAAGTCCTTAGTCTCCTGAGCAGCTGGGACTACAGATGCATGCCACCATACTTGGTGATTTATTTATTTATTTTTGTAGATACAGGGTCTTGCTATGTTGCCCAAACTGGTCTTAAACTCCTAGACTCAAATGATCCTTCTGCCTTGGGCTCCCAAAGTGCTGGGATTATAAGCGTGGGCCACCATGCCCTGGCTACAGGTATCTTTTTTGAGTCAAGGTCTCACTGTCACCCATGCTGGTGTGCAGTGGCACAATCATGGCTCACTGCAGTCTTGACCTCCTGGGCTCAGACAATCCTTTGGCCTCAGACTCCCAAGGACCTGGGACCACAAGTACATACCACACACCTAGCTAATATTTTTTTTTTTTGGTAAAGTCAAGGTTTTACCATGTTGCCTAGGCTGGTCTTGAACTCCTGAGCTCAAGCAGTGCTTCCACCTTGGCATCCCAACGTGCTGTGATCACAGTGTGAGCCACTGCGCCCAGCCCCTACATGTAAATTAAAGTCATTCATGGGAAATCTCAATGACCAGGAAAAAAGTGTTTGTGATGCACTATTAAAAAAAAAAAAAGAATTCGTGACCCGCCTGGACAACTTGGCAAGACCTCATTTCTACAATAAATCAAAAAAATTAGCCGGGCGTGGTAGCGC